GCAAATTTACCTTAGAGCAGTGGTTCTCAACCTTTCTAATGCTGTGAGCCTTTAATACAGTTCCTTCTTTAATACAGTTGGGGGTGGTAACCCCCAACCATAAAATTATTTTTGTTGCTACTTCATAACTTTAATTTTGCTACTGTTAGGAATCATGATGCAGATATCTGATATGCCAGATATTGATATGTGACCCCTGTAAAAAGGTCATTAAACCCCCAAAGGGGTCATGACCCACAGCTTGAGAGCCACTGCTCCAGAGCAGTGGAAAGAGAAAGCCCTGCTTGTCAGGAAGAGGCCTCAAGGGTAGAAAACCATTTAAACACCGGGTGTTGGGGGTTTTAACTCTGTGAAGAATACTGGTAGGGTAAAGAATGATTATTTTCTTCCTGGTATACAAGATGGTTGACTTTTTCCCTGACCCCAGACTGCTTGAGATGAACTGGTAAGTTTATCAAAGGGCCATTGAATCATGAAGTAGGGCTATTTGTCTTCATCTTATTGTCCTGGGCTTACAGAAAAAGTCTGCTTTATTTGTTTGCTTGATTTTTTTTGAGACATGATCTAGCAATATATCTCAGGCTGGCTTTGAAATCACAAATTCAAGATCTTCCTTCCAACATGTCCCAAATGCTGAGGTTACAGGCATGTGTGACCAGGTTGGAAAGGTCATTTTCAAAGGACTGGTCTTCTCCTTGGACTTTGTGTCTCTGATGTCTCCTCCCTTAATCCTCCTTTATGCATAAAAGATCTTTTCCTGGCTGACCTTTCCTGTCTTTCTTACTTTCCTTATCTTTATCTCCAACATGCATTCTCACCCTATACCTATTGAAAGAGATGCAGTTCCCCACCACCCCCACACAACATATTTTTAATGTTTTTCTGTTATATCTTTACTTTTAAGCTCTTCATGATCTGTCTCCCTTCATTAGTCAGTAAGGTAATGAGATTAGGAATGTGTCTGTCTTCCATATAGCTGTACTGTCAGATTGGGGAATCTGGATGAATGAATGAATGTCCCAATGCCTTTGCCCATGCTGTCTTTTTTTTTTATAAGATAATCCTTGAGCCGGGCAGTGGTGGAGCACGCCTTTAATCCCAGCACTCGAGAGGCAGAGGCAGGCAGATCTCTGTGAGTTCGAGGCCAGCCTGGGCTACAGAGTGAGTTCCAGGAAAGGCTCCAAAGCTACACAGAGAAACCCTGTCTCGAGAAAAAAAAAAAAAAAAGATAATCCTTTTCCACTGGCCTTCATTGTTTAAATCACATTTCTCTTCTAACACTCGTTTTAAATATAACTGTAATTCCTTTTTCCTCTCCCACCACCCATCACCTATCCACATGTGTACACATGCACACATGCAAATCCCACAAATGCACATGAATGTGCATGCCATGCAACTGGGCTCCTTTGACTTCATAACACCCTTCCTTCGTACATAAATTACAGAGACAAGTGGCCAGCCACAAAACGTTTGCCTTTCATGGTTCAGAGCTGTTGCAGACAGTGACTGCCAGACCATGACTTTCCAGGGACCAGTGTAACCGAGCACCGACAAACGGCTTGTAGGCATCACTTCCAAACCCGCCCCTGCAAACTTGCCTTGTGTGACAGTGTGGCTTCTCCTCTCTCACACCTGCTCACTGACTTCCTAGGAGCCAGCAGAGAACTCTGGGGCTGTGGAGACTGGTGGGACTTCGCACAGGCTGCCTGCCAAGCACCCTCACAATGTTCTGAGCGACAAGCAGGAACCAAGCAGCCGAATGGAGACTCATGAGGCTTTGGGGCTGCTATCACAGCGTTTATTCCACCCTCCATACATTTACCACAGGGCAGAGGACCATCCTTCCCCCGCTAATGTCTCCTCAGCAGTTCGTGTCTCTTGAGCAGGTACTGGCCGTCACTGCTCTTCAATTCCAGGGCCTGGGAAACAGCGCTCCAAGGCTCCTTATCTGGCAACTGGAGCACAACTTCAGAACACAAAAGCAAGGCCAACTCTTGGTTCTCTCCCTAACATAATTAATTCATATACATTCCTATTCCATTTCCTATGGCAAATTCCTCACACGTTTCTTCCCCTGGAAGATCACTTGGACTTACTGCTCCCTAGTGAGAGACCTTAACATCCTCTCCAGGACCTCTGCCCTGTGGACTTTCTTACCAGGTAGCTCAGCTTTCAACCTCCATCCAAAGATCACACTGACAAGAATTGCTTTTGAAAGAGCAGTCTCTGCCTGTGGTTGATCCTACCTTCCCCTGACATGTTTTATTTGTTTCATTTTGGTTTTTAAATGGCACTCTTCCTGTTAATGAAATAAATGCTGCTGAATTTCCTTTCTCCTGTCCAGCATAAAACCAATCATTACTGATTCTGAATTAGGTGAATTTTTCCCAGTGAGAGGCTACATTTCAGTGAGATTCTGAAAAGCCTGGGTGGGAGTTAATCACATTTCTGAAACAAACAATAAAACCTAAGTGGATGCTGGGACACCAAATACAAGTGGACTTTTGCATCCCAAGCTCATGTCCAGACTGACCAACAATGTCCCAGTCATTTTGCGGTGTCAAAACAAGACACCTGGGTGGTCTAAGGTGAGCAGAAATCGATCTCTCATAGTTCTGAAGCCTCACAATTCCAAAGACCAATCTCGCAGGTTAGCACTATTTAATGGAATGTTTCTACAGAAGAGTGACAGGACCTCTCATCCATGTGAGTGTCAGCCCAGCGGGTCTTGGGAAGCTAGGGGTACAGGAAAAAAGAGGGGTTAGCTTTTGTGCAGTGCAGTGCAAAGAGAGCTCATGACTTCAATTCAGCGTTCATCCAAGGACAATCCAAACTGCAGCCTGGACCGGGACACTGCCTTCCATAAACCTATAGACAGACTCCACGAACCATCCAGCCTCCTCATGTTGAGGAACCACTGCTACCACAGACTTCTGAGCATCTGCCCACCCTCGATGGCCTCAGAAGGGCTAGCTTGAGTGACTTGGCCCAGCTCCAGCCCAAAGAGGGCACTGCAACCTGCTGTGCCCGGCGCTAGAATGGGCTTCCCAGTTCTGAAAGGTTCTGGCTCAACACTGTGACCCTCGTCTTTTCACAGTCACACTTGGCTGCTGAAAGGGCCCCTTATACTTTGTGTCATATGCTCTGGGAGCATGACTGCCCACCCCTAGGCTAAAATTCACCGTTTTTCTAAACTGCAGACCTTATCAGTATGTCTTCTGTGAACCGCTGTTCTGGCATTAGAGGCTCTGGCAGCTTTTGCACGGCATTTAGCTTTCTGTTGATTCTCCCTGGGAACTCCAGCTTGACAGAAATCTTGCCACATTTGCCTCAAGTGGCCTAGACAGACCTCCCTGTCCATTTTGTTCTTCTCTCATCCCACCTTTGATTTGTGTGTGTGTGTGTGTGTGTGTGTGTGTGTGTGTGTGTGTGTGTGTCTGTCTGTCTGTCTGTCTGTCTGTCTGACTCTCTCTCTCTCTCTCCTCATGCAATGGCACAAGTTTGGAGGTCAGAGAAAAACTTGTGGGAGTCAGTTCTCTGCTTCCACTGTGTGGGTTCTGGGGACTGACCTCAGGCCATCAGGCTTAGATACAAATTCCCTTACCTACTGAGCCCTCTCATGTCCTTTTAGTTAATTTTATACTTGACTGTGTCCTTTGAGAGGGAAGACCATCCTGTCCTCACATGTCAGAAGAGTTCAGGAGGCATCCCCAGTCCACTGGCCCTGCTTAGAGTATTGATCCACACCTTCCACAAGCCACACCTCCCACAAGCCACACCTCCCACAAGCCACACCGCCCACAAGCCACACCGCCCACAAGCCACACCTCCCAGCACTGCTGCACCAAGATTTACGTTTCCAGTACATGAATCTGGGGGGATATGCTCACACAGTAGCATGTCCTTAATTTCCTTCTGAGACATCGTGAGAGACGCCTTTACCATTCCCATGTCTGCCAACATTCTACTTGTGTTTATTTATATATTCTTCGGAAGATGGAAACGTTCCCACTTTTCCTTTTCTTTCTAGACCTCACCAAAATCACCCTCAAAAAAACCCCTTCATGATAGTCAGGTAGTGGTGGCTCACACCTTTAATCCCCAGCACTCAGAGGCAGAGGCAGGCATGGATCTACAGAGCAAATTCCAGGACAGCCAGGGCTACACAGAGAAACCCTGCCTCAAAAACAAACAAACAAAACAAGACAAAAACCCCTAACAAAAACAACAAACAAAAACAAAAAAAACCCTTTATGACAGCATTGGCATTTACGAATATTGTGCGACAAGATTTCCCGGGGAAACACAACACACACATCTACTCATCCTAGACAGGGAGCCCACAACAGACCCACGTTCAGACACCACCAAAGTCCAATTTAGTGACACAGTGAGTTCCACTTAGAGGAATATGCGTGAGGGATGACTGACAGGAACAGAGATGATTCAGAAACAGCTGCATCACCAAAGACACCTCAGCACAGGTGACAGTTCACAGATGTCGAAAACCTGGAGCACGCTGCACAACCTGCAGGGGGCTCAACAGCTCGGGGAGTGTCCTCCCCAAGTGACTCAGTTGGTCTAAACTTCTTCCAGGCAGCTCCACTGATCTCAATCTTCTTGCAACTCTGCTCATCTGAGAGTGACTGAGCAGTCTTTATTGTTTACTCTGGCTGGAAGGGACCTAGTGATTCTGATCTGTTCCAGGAACTTCCTGAGGCTATTTTGAGTTGTTTACTTTTTGTCTTAAGGAGCTTTCCCAGGATACTCAATGGCAGAAGAAACTGCTACACAACAATTGGCCTACCTCCCCTCAAAATGCTTCCAATCTTTCCCCCTTGGCCAATTCTGAAGCTGCTCATTAGTTTTACATTTTTTGTCTAAGTGGCTTTCCATTTCTGGTACCAGTTTTCTGTCTCAGCTCATTTGAGGTGCTGTAACAAATTATTATAGATTAGGTGTCTGTTGTTTTGTTTTGTTTTATATTGCTGTTGTAGGACGTCATGACCAAGCCAACTTACAGAGGCTTACAGTGTCAGAGGGTCAGAGTTCATGACGGTGAAGCCAAGGCATGGTGGCAGGAACAGCTGAGGGCTCACATCTTGTTCCACAAACAGAAAACAGAGAAAGACACACTGGGAATGGCAAGTCTTTTGAACCGTCAAAGTCTGTCCCCAGTGACACACCTCTTTCAATAAGGCCACACCTCCTAATCCTTCCCAAACAATTCCAGGAACTGGAGACCAAGATTCAAACATACGGCTCTAGGTAGGTCATTCTCATTCTGAAGTGATGAAGGTAACTTTTTGTCCTGATCTTGCTCTAATTCTATTTTGTGTCTGCATAGATGCTTTTCAACCCCTAAGACCCTGAACAGTCATGTCTGTCTTAGTAACACATACAGGACTTTCCATAACCCTGTCCAGGACCATGCCATAACCCAGATGTATAACCAACATTTCTGCTGAATGTATAGTCAAAACAATGCCAGCAGGTTCCCCTAACCTATACCTGTCAATGATGGAATTGTGGGTTTTGCCTTAAAAATACTCTACCCCTAAGCTTGAGTGCGGAGAGTTCCTTGAGGGCAAGAGCCTGCTCTCAGTTGCTGGCCAATAAAGGGCTCTAATTTGGTCTTATGTGTGTGGTAGTCTGTACTATCTTACCTGAACTCTAAAAATTCAATCTACCACACTGAGTGACTTTAAAAAGAAAAGAAAAGAAAGAAATTTGTCCTTTAAAATTCTGCATGCTCCAAGTTCAGAATCCATGCATTGGCAAGTCAGTGTCCAGTCCAGTATATTTCCTGGGTCAGAAACGACCATTGCATTCCATCCTCAAAAAGGAGACCAAGGTCTGTTTGTTCTTGTCATAAGTACTAATCATGACCTAGTCACCTCCCAGAGACCCACATCCTAACACCACACACTGGAACTAGAACTCCCAGATATGAACATCCAGGTGGGAACACAAACATTCAGCCTATAACACCATTGAGAGTTTCAGAAGGGGCTTTGTGATAAGCCTTGTGCACTTGAAAATGTCTATCATTGGTTAAGAAAATACAACTGTTTTCTGAGGGCTACATTACTTCAAAGCAACTGCTTTTTAAAGAAATGTTTGATTTACACAGTTTCAAGTTACTGATGGGCCTTGATTGCATCTGAAGAAATATGAAAGAAGTGACAGGTTCAACGAGAAAAAAAATTAAAATAGAGCTCAGTCACTCCCAAGGGGCATCTTCATGTCAGTTCGAACTATGAGGCTTGATTGATGTAAATCTGTTTATCATCCGTCGAGTGCTGTACGCAGGTACTCACCCCTCCACACTCGGCAATGACAGTTTGGGAAATGCATGATTATTTCAGCAATTAAACCTAGCAAGTACTGGAAGTGGCTTACAAAGCAGCCACGTGGAAACTGGATTCTGAAGGATTTAGAAGATAAATATTCCATGAAGAAAAACAACAAAGATTGGGAGGAAAGAAAGGAGAAAGGGAACAGAAAGACCCAGCTCCCCAAGTGGAGGGTAGATTTGAGCCCTAGACAGGGACAGAGAGGAGGCTGGGTTTCCTGTTTGTCTGCTGGTGCAGTCTTGGGACCTGCTCGCTACCTTTAGCAGTTCACTTTCCATTAAATTTCCAAGGTTCCTAAAAAACCAATTCTGATGGTCCATGAGAAGCAGTTAAACAAATACCCAAAATTTTTAAACTAAAAAACCATTTAAAATTACTACTAATGTGAGTAGTATCTGGCTCCTCTCTCTGCAGGGTCTATGTGGCTACTTCTTAAATGTTTTTCTATTTTAAAAGTATCAGAGGCGTGCACCACCCCCACCCGGAGAAACCCCCTGCCGGGCTTTGCTTGATTAATTCTTTTATCTCCCTCTGAGCTCAGGGATCTAGAGAAATCTGGCAGGCCGGCTCCCCGTTTGCTAATGCTCTGACCTAGATTGGGCCTACTTCATTTAATAAACAGGGAGAGTTGTAGCCTCGGGCTGTCAATTCATCTGAAGCTGCTATGGGCCCGTGGTTTGTTTATAAAGGATGTTTTTGCCTGCAGTAAAACAGGCATCAGCCTTGGTTTCTTCTGAGTTTATAGAAGTGGACTGAAATCTGGGGAAAAATTGTAGGCTCTTCAAAAATGCTCATGAAGGTATTATTTTTGTCTCTTAACATACTCAGAAAAAAAAACTGTAAATGTCTTCCCCAGATAAACTTTGACAGTCCCTGTCGCCTTCAGATAACTAACTAGAGGCAGAATATATTGCCCACAGCGCTCAGCCCTCAAAAAATCAACCTTGGTTCAGATCCATTTCCAAATCTCCTGGATTCATTCTGATGTTACGTACAATTTATGACTGCAGTAGTAACTAACTGGCAATGATTGGATATTTTTTACCATACCAGGTACAGGGCTAAGATCTCAGCATCCATGAACTCACTCAAGCCATGTAAGTACACCATGAGGTACACACCATCATTGTCCACTCTATGGGTATGTAGAGCACCTATCTCCAAGCAGAGCAGATCAAACCAGGGTCTGTCTCACTCCATGTAGACTTGCCTGCATTATAACCACGATCTGGAGCATGCGGCGCTACAGGACCTCAATCACTGTAACTACCTTAACCCGCCTGATCCATTTCTCGGCTCTCTACCCTACCTGATCCATTTCTCTGCTCTCTACCCTACCTAATCCATTTCTCAGCTCTCTACCCTACCTGATCCATTTCTCGGCTCTCTACCCTGCCTGATCCATTTCTTGGCTCTGTAAGGCAAATGTGACTATGTTTAATGCTTCAAATGAAGAAACTGAAGCTTCTAGAATTTGCATGACTTGCTCAGAGCAGAATTGTCCCGTTGTGGGTTATTCATCGGAGAAGACTGCTCAGACATGGTAAGCCGATGGAAAGTCTTTACTAGCCAGCCAGTGACTACCCTGGGATCCCCGTGTTCAGTTGAGGAATCACACTGAGCCTTTCTCAGGAGGAGCTTTAAAGCACAAAAACCACATCCTGGGTTGACATACTTCAGTTAACAAGAACAGTTAGCCAGAAGCAGAACTACAGAAGCCAAAAGCAAAGTTCATACATTTAGAGACTTTCCCAGAACTATGGACTTTGGTGGATTAGGCCTTTGTGGTAGTTCTGACAGGTGGTATTGTCTACGTGCTGAGTTTTACAGCTTGAATGGTACTTCCATCATGGAGTCAGTTGTGCTAAGGTTTCAGGGCCATGGTCAAATGTGGAGAGAGAGTGAGGGACACGGAACATCTGGCTAAATTAGAATTTCAGATAATAAGTAATATTTCGATTATATTTATACTAAAAACAAATATTATTTGTCTGACATTGAATATCATGTGGAACTGATGGTAGGCACCAAATAACCCTGTAGCATAAATACATCCTAATTCTTATCCGAAATTAAAATCTAGCTGGGTATTGTGTATTTACACATCAACCTTACCCTAAAGTGACATTCTTGGTGGGAGGCAATGTTGGGACTGTAAAATGGGTTTTCTCCCCAGCCCAGACCTCCATCACACCAAGGAGCCCACACCCCTGAGAACAAAGCCTCTAACACATTAGTCAAACAGTCATGGAAATTAATGGTTTTTAGTACAGATAAATTGACCTTAGAACATGTATGGATCTTGTCCATTCATGCTGGTGTCAAAAAATTGTAAATGGATTTTCTGTCGTTCAACAGGATTGTCTCTAGGCCTTCTACCGGGATGATGGAAGTACTGCTGTGAGTGAGGATGAACCTGGCTTTGGGAAAGTCTCTGGCCACAGTGTACACCATGGTCATATTCATCATGATTGTGGAATGGAAGACCACAGGATGTTAAATGATAGACTGTAGCATCTAAACATCTTGTTCTCAAAGCATGACTCATGTTACAATGTAGCAGAAGGCTATTTTAATACACTAGTGAATGTCATTTCTCTCCCAGGTTCCTTGTGTCTCTCCTTCATTCAAACACTTAGTTGCTCCTGTTTAGTCCCTACTCCAGGGAAGGGAGGTGCACACATGTGGAAGGTCAGTCGGGAGACTTTCACCCTGGGCTCAGCTTCAATTCTGGGTCTTTAAAAAAAAAATTTTTTTTAATGATTTATTTATTCTTGTTTTATGTGCATTGGTTGCTTTGCTTGCATGTATGTCTGTTTAGGAACTGTAGTTACAGATAGTTGTAAACTGCCATGTGGGTGCTGGGAATTCAACCCAAGTCCTCTGTAAGAGTAGCCAGTACTCTTAACCACTGAGCCATCTCTCTAGCCCTTCAATTCTGGGTCTTACTTGGTGCCAGGTGCTTTGAGAGCAGGATCCTCGCTGACCACTGTGTTGTCGGCTCACCGAAGTGGCTGCCTATGACCTTTGAGTCCTGGAGAGCACACTGCCCAAATGGCTGGGTGGCAAGTCTCATGGAGCCTCTGGGCGATATCAGCCTCTACAGCCTGTGCCCAAAGAAGGGGGCGGGGCCTTCTGTCACCTCCCCCCCTCTCCCCCTCTCCCTCTCTCCCCAACCTGGATACAAGCTGGAGTTTTTCCTTCTTCCATGCCTTGGGAAATCCCACTTCTCTCCAGTTTCTGGTCAGGAACTTTTATCTATTCTCGAGAACCTTGTCCATGTTTCTTGAGGTTTGGACTTCCTATACCAAGAGTCATGGAAAAGAAAGAGAAATGTGTATAAAGAAGCAGTGAAACAAAGTATTGGTTCTTTGAAAAAATAAACAAGATCCACAAACCTTTAGCCAAACTAGCCAAAAGAAAAAGAAGACCAAAATGAATAAAAATTAGAGATGAATATGGAGGCATTATAACAAATACCAATGAAATATTAAAAAATCACTAGGACTTACAAACATTTATAGTCTCCAAAATTGGAAAAATCTAAAAGAAATTAGTGAATTTCTAGGTACAACAATCTATGGTTTTTATAACAATGAGACCAAGATGAGAAAAACAATTTAAACAAATCTATAACAAATAACAGGATTGAAGTAGTAATTTAAAAAAAACTACAAAGTTTCCAATTGAAAAAATTCCAGGCCCACATGGATTCCCTGCTGAATTCAGCAGACCTTTAAAAATGAACTGACACCAATGTTTCTCAAGCCATTCCATGAGTAGAAAAAAGAATTTTACCAAATTCTTGTATGAAGGCAGTATTTCCCTGATACTGGAACCAGATAACCACACAATAAAAAATAAAATTATAAACCAATCTCCCTAATGTACATAAATACAAACTAATTATGATAAACCAATTTTAATAGCATATCAAAGATGTTATTCATTATTTTCATGTTGGTTTCATTCCAGAGTTGCAGGGACAGGTCAACATATAGAAATCAATACATGTAACACAACACATAAATGGACTCAATGACAAAAACATGATTATCTGAGTTGATACAGAAAAGGCTTTTGACAAAAATCCAAAATCATGATTAAAAAAAAAACCTTGAAAGTAATGTATTTCAGCAAAATAAAGGCTATATATGGTAAACCTATGGCAAAAATTATACTAAGTGGGAAAAGAAACCTCAAAAGTATCTCCACTACAGTCAGGAACAAGCAAGAGTGTGCGTTTCTTCACTCTTACTAAATATGGTACTTGAAATCTTTGCTAGAGCAGTAAGTCAGGAGAAGAAAATAAAGGCATAGGAGTAGGAAAAGCAGATCCTGAAATATCTTTATTTGGAGATTATATGTTCCTAGACATAAGAGTCCCTAAATCTTCCACCAGAAAACTCCTACAGCTGATAAATTATTTCAGCAAAGTGGCAGTATATAAAATTAATAAACAAAAATCAATTATCGCCCTATATAGCAACAGCCATATTAAGAAATAAATCAGAAAAACTATCCCATTCACATTGTCTTAAAAACATAAACTATCTGGCTGGTGACCCCTTTCTGCATTTCCTTCTAGTGGGTGGTGATGATCTTTAATCCCAGCACTCAGGAGGCAGAGGCAAGTGGATCTCTGAGTTCTAGACCAACTAGTCTAGAGAGCAAGTTCTAGGACAATGGCTACACAGAGAAACCCTGTCTTAAAAAAAAAAAAAAAAAAAAAAAAACAGAAACCAAACTAAACAAACAAAACCCTTCTAGCATATCCCCAGTCCTTTGTGACTCAACCAAACTGTAAAACCTCTTTCTACCAGGAATCTAAGCTGCCACACTAGGCTGGGGATCAAGGGGGACCATCCTCCTCCTTGTCCTCCATTCCGGCCTCTTTGGACTTACCCTTAGTCCTGCAACAGCCTGCCCTATTCCCAGCCTACCTCATCCTCCTGGGACTTGGGAATCCTACAGCCTCCACACTCAGCTGAGACTCGGGAATCCTATAGCCTCCACACTCGGCTGAGACTCAGGGATCTCATAGCCTACCTCATCCTCCTGAGACTCGAGAATCCCACAGCCTCCACACTCGGCTGAGACTTGGGAATCCTACAGCCTCCACACTCGGCTGAGACTCAGGGATCTCACAGCCTCCACCTTTGGCTGGGACCCAAATGAGGCAACGGCAACCAATGATGGAACAAGCAGACAACAAAGACCAGACCAGATGTCTACACCAAGACACACCTCAAACATCAGTAACTCCAGATGCCTGGATCCTAGTGCAAAACCAAAACAACCGAGATAAAACGTCTCCTCCAGAAGCCAGCAATCCCACTGAGTTAGGCCCTGAGACAAGCAACTTAGCTGAAGCACAAGACAAGAATTTCAAAATAGTGCTTATGAATATGTTCGAAGACCATGAAGAGAATATGAATGCCTTAATGAAGACCGTGAAAACACCGTTGAATGAAATAATGAAAACAATTCAAGACATCAAAGTAGATTTAATGAAGAAGTAGATTCAATAAAGAGAACCTCTACTAAAATAAAACTGGGAATGAAAAACTCAGGATGTTAAGTGAAAACCTCTAGAGTAAACCTTACCAACAGATTAAAAGGTGTGGAAAAGAGAATTCCATGTCTTGAAGACAAAATAGAAGAAATAACTAATTCAGTCAAAGAAAATATTAAATCTAAAAATTCCAGTCACAAAACATCCAGGAAATATAGAACACTAGGGAAAGACCAAATCTATGAATAATAGGTATACCAGAAGGAGAAAAAACCAAGGCAAAAGCAAAGAAAATACTTTCAACTAAATCATAGAAGAAATTTTCCCCATTCTAAAAAAAAAAAGAGGTGCCTGTTAAGGTACAAGAGACATTTGGAACACCAAATAGACAGAACCAGGAAAGAATTTTACCACAACACCTAACAATCAAAATATTAGATGTACAGAAGAAATAATATTAAAAGCTGTAAGAGAAAAAGACCAAGTAACATATAAAGGCAGACCTATTCTTAACGGAGAAATCCAAAAGAGCTGAACATAAAAACTCTGAGAGACCGCAAATGCCTACCATACTACCATACCCAACAAAATTATCAATCACAATTGACAGAGAATGAAAAATATTTCATGTGTCATAAAAACAAATTTAAGAAATTTCTGTCCACCAATCCAGATCTACAGAAGGAAGTAGAGGGAAAACTTCAGTCTGAGGAGGTAAATCAAACCCAAGAGAATAAATTATCCCAGAACAGTAAATCAAAGAGGGAGGGGGAAAAACTCAACCCACCACAAGAAAATAATGGGAATAAACACTGCTCGTTAAGTACTCTCAATATTAAAAGTCTTAATTCCCCAGGAGAAAGACACAGACTAACAGACTGGATTAGCAAACAGGATCCATCTTTCTTCTGCCTCCAAGGAACACTTTATTAGAGTTCTCTAGAGGAACAGAACTTAAGAATGAATCTATATATGTAACAGGGGAGTTTAGTAGAGTGGCTTACGGACTACATCCATCTTGTCCAACAATGGCTGTCTGTCAACAGAAGGTTCAAGAATCTGAATCTAGCAGTTGCTCAGTCCATGAGGCTGGACGTCTCTGTTAGTTTTCAGTACAGGCCAGAATCCTGAAGAAGTAGGCTCTAACGTCAGTGAAGGAATGGACTTGCCAGTGACAGTGAGATCAGACAAATAGAGAGCAAGCTTCCTTCCTCTATGTCCTTTATCTAGGCTGCCAGCAGGAGGTGTGTCCCAGATTAAAGATGGCTCACCCCACCACAAAGATGAAGATTAGAAGTGGATCTTCCCACTTCAAATGATTTCATTAAGAAAGAAAATCCCTCAGCTGGGCAATAGTGGTACACACCTTTAATCCTAGCACTTGGGAGGCAGAGGCAGGTGGATCTCTACGAGTTGGAGGCCACTCTGGTGTACAGAGCGAGTTCCAGGATAGCCAGGACTGTTACACAGAGAAACCCTGCCTGAAAACACAAACAAATCAAATCAAATGGACCTAATAGACATCTACAGAACATTGCACCCAAACACTAAAGCACATGCTTTCTTCCCAGGGGCCCATGGAACTTTCTTCCAAACTGATAACATATTAGAACAGAAAGCAAGTCTCAAAAAAAGATGAAATAATATGGCAGCCTATATGACTACCATCCACTAAAGCTGGTTATCAACAAGAGCCATGACAAAGTACGCAAACTCAGAGAACATGAGCAACTCTCTACTGAATAAAAATTGTGTCAAGACAGAAGCCAAGAAGAACATATAAAACTTCCTGGAATTGAATAAAAATGAAAACACAACATACCAAGCCTATGGGTTATAATGAAGGTAGCTCATAGCAAAAAAAAAAAAAAAAAAAAAAAAAAAAAAAAAAAAAAAAAAAAAAAATTAAATCTGGAGAAATTCCATATTAACAACACACTCTAGGAAAACAAAAAGGATTAATACCCCAAAAGAGTAGAGAAGAAGAAATAATCAGTCTCAGGGCTGAAATCCATAAAGTAGAAACATACAAACACGAGAACAAGACAAAGAATCAATTAAATGAAGAGTCGGTCCTTTG